TTTTTTTTTTCAGGCTTCTTCTTTCTAATTGCTTAAATTGGAAAATTTACTGTGATGATCATTCTTCACTTTCATCTACAACCGCAGTTCGAATATGAATTATTTCATATATACTTTACATCAATAAGTTTTCATAACTATACATTAGTTGGAATTTAAATTAGCCACAAATTTGGTTGGATAATGTCCAATGACTGACTGTTATTTCCAGCACTACGTTCTGTTCTGTATTCTTTAGCTCACATCAGCTTATAATGTCTACTGTATCTCACAAATGTGTCATCTGTTTTGTCTAAATACAGGTTGTAGAAGATGGATATGAGTTCTTTGCTAAGCGGCAGTTAGTGACTTTATTCTCTGCTCCTAACTACTGTGGAGAGTTTGATAATGCTGGTGCCATGATGAGTGTGGATGAAACCCTTATGTGTTCCTTTCAGGTTAGGACTTCTTGATATCAGGAACAAAATTTTCTATAGAGTAGTCACTTCGTATTTCTTGCATTGTTTCTTGCATAAGCATGTACCAGTGATAGATTATTTGAATAGTAATTAGTTATTAAGTTTATTCATATACTTTGTATTTGATTTCGTTCTGAAAGTAACCTGCCAAAATGATTTCATGTAATTTTGTGTTAGTGGTTGTGACCTGCATTCTTTTGTCGCATTGAAATTCCAGTGAAAGGTAAAAATTCCTACTCCACTAAGTTAACCCCATGTATAGTTATGTCGTTTGCTTATTAATCCCATATTACCACTGACAGTAACTGACATGCCTATGTAGGCTCATCACTCAACATTACAAGTCAGGCTTACTTGAGATTTATAAGTAATATTCATCGACTAACATCTGCGTCCAATTTAGATGAAAGCAACATGGAAAGATCATTATTTTATGACAGGGAATTAAATTATTTTGCTCAACCTCTTCTTAGAACAAGTTTCATTCTGCACTTAAACAGGAAAGCATTCCCTTGCAGCATTCAATTATGTACAATGTTGAATGTTTTATCCACAGATTCTAAAACCTGCTGACAAGAAAAAATTCCCTTATGGTGGTTTGAACTCTGGCCGTCCAGTTACACCACCACGTGGCCAACAAGGAAAGGGGAAGAAAAAATGATATTTGTGTTTGATATCATCTTTGGTTTGGACTGTAATATAATACATTGTCGTACAATTTAGTTATTTTGTAGAGTAGATTGGATAGAACTGAAGATTATTACACACTCCAGTTGTCATATTCTACAGAAAAAAATATGACATAAATTGTCTTTGAAATTTTTTTACTATATTTTATGCATACAAGTATGTTAATTTGTTGATCACATACATGTACTTGCTTTTGTTGTATCTCTTCTTTCCTCTGTTATCAATCATATTGCATACAAATGTACATTTTGTCATTCACATTAAAGATGTTGCAAAGCCTAGATGCAGAAAATGTGTTCAACATTTATGCATTTAAGCAACTGATGCAATAGGAGATTTTGTGTAGGAGGCAGTGACAGTATTTCTGGCTAGCCTTGATCACTTTGCTTTTCATGTTATGTTGGCTACAAGGAGGGGGAAAAAGCAAAACAACACAGACTACCATACTACTCGCAAAAAAGCCACAACAATAATTGTGACTCATTAAGAAGCTTTTTGAAAAAGGCATATTAATAATGTACCTTTCTGGTATCTAAAAACAATGGTAGCAACCACCAAAAAGAAGTTGAATTGTTAACACCCCTTTTACAGTGTGAGATTCAAGTAGCTGCATACTGGGCACAGCCTCTTTTAAAAAATACTGCTTTAGATCTAATGTTCTTTGAATGAGTGCCTTGTTGCTGTTCACTAGTATGAGGCTTATTTAAGGGTAGCACTTGTCAAAATTTTTGTAGTTATGAGTGCTGCTTACTTGAGGGTGTCTTGTTGAGGACAAATATGGTAGTCAAAACAGTCCAGAAATACAAGCCCTGCTGACTAAGTCAAATATTATCAACAGATATAGGACTTTCATATCGCACTGTTATGGAATGTTGTATTCTTAGTCAGTGTCCACCCCTCTTGAATACATGAAGGAAGCCACACTAAACTGAAGGTTATCCACTGCAAGAAACAAAATCATCAGTGTAAAATAATGACAAGGGAATTTGTACTATCTTTTGTAATAAAGTACAAGATAGATTTGGGGGTCATGGTGGGGAAGGATCTAGTTATTAGTTTCTTTTTTATTGTACACTATATAGTTGTGTGGAATTTGAAGTCATTTCATAAGCATTATTTGACCAGTGTATAGACAGCCTGTGTTACAGCTGCACCCATGAAACAGTAAAAGAACAATAATGGAGAGAGAGTCTGTTTGATCCTTTTGATTATTAGTGTTCCTTACATAAATTAGCCATGCATCAACAGTGTGATACTCCCAGATAACAAAGGAACTTGCACTTGCCCTCTGCACTTGACCTTTGTGCGAGACAGTTAAAGACCTTTGAAACTTCTTGGAAAAAGTTTTTGGCCATAAAATGCCATTTATCTGGCTTTAACTTCAAAAATCAAAATCTTACAAAAGTGTAACAAATTAGCCAACTGTGGAGATACTTATCAGCACAACCGATAAAGCTGAGTTCAACATTTTTCTTTCAATTTTTCTTTCAATTTTTTGTTCAGGAAGGGTAGCTGTAACACAGGCCAATGTTTTTAACACTCAAATCTGAATCTAATTAGTTCTTACATTTTTGTGATGCTATTTTGCAATTTACTGACTAGCCAGTGCAACCCAGATGTAATTATCTTGAGGGCTTCTCATTTCAGTATGCACAGCATTAAATCTCCATTGGCAATTTCTTTCTTACCATGGAAATATATTATTTGTTGCAAATTGTACTATACAGCTGTGATATAAATTGTGAAAGAGTTAACTGAACCTTGACACATGTACTTTTTTTAGAACGTCTTCTAGTTGGGAAGTTACTAACATCCTTTACCTAACATTTTTTGTATGCCACTCCCTGAAAAAGAAGCAGAATGAAGAGTCCTTGTTACAAGATTGATTTTACACTCATATGTTCACTACAAGTCTGTTCATGTTGCTTATGTTGGGTGAAAAGACATAGACAATTTTCCTTTGTTACCTTCAACATTGTTTACATCTGGGTTGCACTGTCATATTTTAAGTTGCCCTGTTGATGTCTTACACTGAATATTCTATGAGATTTGACTTTCCTCTCATCAACAGCTCATTCCTGTGTAGTATATGCAATAAGTTTTTCACTTTGATGAGAGCAACAATAATAATATAACCATAATAACAATAACATTTAAATTCAATGAGTCCATTTTCATTCTGTGACAAATCATGTAAGATTAATTGCTAGTTAATTTTGGTCTGTACATATAAAGAAAGAAAATTTGTATCGATTGCATTGCACTTGTTGTTCACTGCTTAGCTGGTGTCCGTCTAGTGACCTGTGAAGCTGTCATGTTCCCCTTGCTGATTACTGCAGAGCCAACTAAGACTTTTTGAGAGGAAATTTGCCGATAGAGCATTTTCACTTGAGTGTTGAAAGTAATTTGGTTTTGCTTAGGTTTAGCAATACTATGAAAAGAACAGTTGTTGGTGACTGATGCTGAAGTCATCATAAACTGAAGTGTCATGCGATGTTGACCATTCCTGGCATCTTGCAAATGACCTGTTCACAACATATATACTAAACCAATCAAGGGACCTCAAACAGAGCAACTGAATTTGACTGACATTAGAGGGTACAAAACATACTAGAACTGACCAATGACTGTTGACAAACTTTACATCAGTCTTCTAAACCATCATGACTAAACTGACTAGTGAGTGTTGACAGAGCAGACTCACAACACCACTGACTGACAAACACTTCTTGACAACAGTTACCCAAATGCAGTCAATCTTGCTATTATAGCTCTGTAAGTCCTTCCATCCCCTCCACCCCTGGCATTTGTTGTGGACTTATATTTTTTTTGAAAATATGTTACAAGTGCCCCATGGTGGAACTAGAATGTTGGTTCAAATCCCCACAGAGGAGCTTTGGGAAGACTGCAAATGCTAAATCCACGGGACAAGGTCAAAATTCAATTTTCCTGAAATTGTGATGATGGAAGCAATATTGATCACAGATAAATGGATGTTAATATCCTTAACCATGGTTTTTGGAGGTAATGCACCTCCCGAAAGTGACAAGAGTTACAAATAATACAACAACCAGCATTCAGATGTTGTTTATGCTGCTTTATGCTCTGGTTTGAAACATGCAGGACTCCAAAGTTCATTCACTCAGTTTTGATGTTTTGCATAGAAGGCATTCAGGAAATTTAAAAATAAACAATGAAAGACGTACATATTTTAAAAACTGAAATATAAGATTGCCTTTGACAATCCCCGATCTCCAGGCTGTCCTGTTTTAGCAAATGCCCTACCCTGGGGTGCACCACAGATGCCAGGAGAGACGGGTAGGAGCTTGCAATTGTCAGAGACTTTAACTGATTAGGACTCTGAGGCAAATATCTTTGACATTTTGGAGGTTTGAATATGTTTAGGTTCTGCCACTGTTGTTAGTACTGATACACAATACTGTTCCCATTGCTACAGTTGTTTTTATTATACCCCAACTGAAGTAGAAATATTATTATTCTGGTCAGGGACTTGTATCAGCACAATGGTTAGGAAATGTGTCAGATGCTGATGACTGATTTCTACTGATAATGCGTGGATTTAACAAGGTACAAATAAAAGAGAAACATCTATTTTGATGAATTGTCCAGCTTTTAAAGATCTTTCAACAATTAAAAAAAAAAAAGTTAAAACACACTGGTAAAAAGGAAGTGACTGAATTTGAAACCTACATTACTGAGTTATTGTTGTACCACATACAGGACATAGCAGAAGTCACAGACTGTTTATTTCCAGTTGCAGGGATGACAAAACACCTAGTGACTGAGCATCAGTTACCTCAATGCTTCATAAATTAATATGTATGTGTGACAGTGATAATATTTATAAAATAACAATAATTTCGATGCTAATAGGAATCAAAGATAAATTATTATTACTACAGGTAACTCCTACGACAACTTATGATATTTTGCCATCAAAGAGAAGAGATCCTTTCACAATAAATATAGTTTAAACTACCTTTAAATAAATTTCATAAAACAGTCACAAAATTTATTATAAATAACTAGTAAATAAGCCTGGGGGGGGGGGG